CGAACCATCTCTACCATTTCCCTTGAAACTCTCTTCATTTCAAGGGTTGTTTGGCTTATAGGTTCGATTTGTATAACTTATGATTATGGAGCGTTTGGGCTTTTCTCGATTTTATTCGTAGTTAGGAAGGGGAAGGAGTCTAAATCAATGGACATTAATGAACCCAAACCGTCTCTACCAATTCCCTCGAAACTCTATTCTTTTCGGGGGTTGTTTGGCTTATTGGGGTTGGATTTGTATAACTTAAGATTGTGGAGCGTTCGGGCTCCTCTCGATCTTATTTGTAGTTAGGAAGGGGGAAGGAGTCTAAATCAATGAACATTAATGAACCTGAACCGTCTCTACCATTTCCCTTGAAACTCTATTCATTTCAGGGATTGTTTACATTACTAAACATAGTTTACATAAACTCTAGCTCTGGATGATTTTCTTATTGTCGTTAGGTCTGAGTGTTATAAATTTATAGGGACACCGGAGTTTATGGCTCCAGAAGTGTATGCGGAGGCATACAATGAATTAGTCGATATCTATTCATTTGGAATGTGCATGCTGGAGATGATAACTTTCGAGTATCCATACAGTGAATGCACTCATCCCGCTCAGATCTACAAGAAAGTCGTATCTGTAAGAAGATTCTCTTTATGCGTGTGTTACGTTTGCTCGTCATGTGTGTTCGTGTGCTCGAGATTAATGTGTTATAGATTTTTAGGGGAAAAAACCAGATGCCTTGTACAAAGTGAAGGATCCCGAAGTGCGACGGTTCATCGATAAGTGTTTGGCGACCGTTTCGCTTAGGCTATCGGCAGCGGAGCTTTTGAATGATGCTTTTCTTCAAGTTGATAATGGCGAATATGATCTAAGAACTGTTGATTATGACAGCTCCTTTTGTAATGGATATCCATATGATTATAGTTTTGAAGCTTCAAGTGAGGCAGGTTATCATCCAATTGATACCGAAACCAATGGAATTGAACTTTTTGAGTATTGTGAAGGTGAACATTCTGATGATGTTGATATCAGCATCAAAGGGAAGATGAGAGAAGGTGGTAGCATCTTCTTAAGACTCAGAATTGCAGATAAAGAAGGTAGATCTTTTATACAGATTCTTTTCATTTCGTTTCGATCGAATGTCGAATCTAAACCGGTTTGTTTGCAGGGCGTATCAGGAACATTTATTTTCCGTTCGATGTCGAGACGGATACAGCTTTGAGTGTTACGAGGGAAATGGTTGCAGAGCTGGATATTACAGATCAAGACGTAACGAGAATTGCTGATATGATCGACGGGGAAATCGCTTCCTTGGTGCCTGAATGGAGGTCGGGTCCGAGGCAAAGCTATTGCCATAATTGTGCTACTGCTACTTACAACAATGCCATAATTGAAAACTCTGAGGTAGCTCCATGCTGTGGACATCGACATGCTTCGATTCACGGTCGTTTTGAGGAGATAATGTATCAAGCTGACGAGTCCGAGGATCATACAGCAGAGGCTGCAGAAAATGTGTCGAGCCATTCTGTTTGCTTGAATTATCCCGAAACGTGGGGACGTCATGAAAGCCGTGAACTTAGTTCAATGAGCTCAAGACATAGCCACTCGGATGAAGATTATGAGAAAACAGATCGATCAGTTACAGTCACGGACACGAAAGAAGTGATAATCGAACGTAAAACTGCTCTTAACACAAGACGCTCACTTCGGAGCCTATTGAATTCCCCTTCTTTCTCAGAAACCCCTTCATTAGATGATGTTCAACAAGAAATGAGATGGATTAAGGCCAAGTACCAAATAGAATTAAGCAAGCTGAGAGATGACAGGTATGCTCGAGACACGAGCCGAAGTAGTACCGATAGCCATGTTTATACAAATAGTAGCTGTTGCAGTACAGACTCGGAAAGAGCTCGAAATCGCAAGGCCATGGAGTCGGCCTCTATTGTGGAGAAGGTAGTCACTGCTAAAAATGCCTGTACTGGTTCATTGCTTCCAAGCTCACTTCATAGAACTATCTCTCTCCCAGTTGATGCTGTGAATATGTAACAAAGTAAGGTCAATCCTTGTATTCTTTTATGGATTCCTAACACTTAATCAAATCAAATAAATAAGTAAATAAATAAATTACATTTACCGACTTGGTTCGCACATGTGAGATTCTACACTAGTTAGAGAGGATAACGAAACATTCTTTATAATGGTGTGGAAATCTCTCCTTAGCAAACACGTTTTAAAAACTTTGAGGGAAAGTCTAAAGAGAACAATATCTGCTAGCGTGAGCTTGGACTGTTACAAATGGTAGTAGAGCTAGGCATCGAGCAATATGCCAGCGAGGAGGCTGGGTTCCAAAGGCGGGGTGGATTGTGAGATCCCACATCGGTTAGAGAAGGGAAGACTAACATTCTTTATAAGAGCCTCGAAACTTCTCCCTACCAAACACGTTTTAAAAATCTCTAGTGGAAACCCAAAGAAGACAATATTTGGTAGTGGTGAGTTTGAGCTATTACAAATGTTATCAACTTCTCCCTAACAAACACGTTTTAAAAATCTCTAGTGGAAACCCAAAGAAGACAATATTTGTTAGCGGTGAGTTTGAACTGTTACAAATGGTATCAGATCCATACACTAAGAAATGTGTCAACAACGACATAGACCCCAAATGGCTAGATTGTGAGATCCCACGTCTTAAATACATAAGTGGGCGAAATAAAATTTAAATTATATATAATCAGAAAAAGAAACCATTACGTGGGCCCATAATATTCGAGGTCAAAAAACGGTTAAAGAAACAACTACAGCCCAAAATTAGGCCCAATAACCTTTAGTCCCAAATAAAACAACAAAGGCCCAATAACGCAGAAAGCCCAAAACCCTAGCCCTCCAATGACTTTATTTACCAGCTAGGGTTTTGCTGCCTTCTTCTTCAAAATCACAGATCAGGTAATCAGAGCAGCCGTTCCTCTGCCCCTTCGCCTTCTTTGAGCTTTTCATCCTCTTCGGAGCACCTCCAGCCATGGCGGACAAGGCAGTCACCATCCGGACCAGGAAGTTCATGACCAACAGGCTCCTATCCAGGAAGCAATTCGTGAGTTTTTCGGATCTTACTCGGCCGTTTTTGCTTTTAGCATTCATTTCGTTTCCGATTTCTGATAGGATTTGTTTCGGATTGATTCTTCGGCGTTTGATTCTTGTCTGCTTAACTTTACTTGGAACTTTACGAGTAAACGTTTCTATATCCTTTTGAGGTTTTAGCTTGGACTTTGTTTGTTTGTGGATTCTGGATCGTTGAATTGCACCTGTTTGACGCTGAAAATGTTTTGTTTAGTCTAAAACCCCAATGCCTTTAAAAAGTCTCAAGTTTTTGGTTTCTCTATGATCTTGAGTTTAGAGTTTTTAGTGTTACTTCTATAACTACCTTGAAAAATTGATTTAGGGTTGCTGATCATGTATCTGGATAGCTCGGTGACTTCTTTTTGTTTTTTAACTATATAATTTTTTGATCTTAATACGAATGGAAAACCTTTTGAAGTCGTTTTTAACTTTTCTGTTTTCTGGTTAATGCAGGTCATTGATGTTCTTCACCCAGGCAGACCCAATGTCTCCAAGGTAATTCCTTTTTCAGTTCATTTGTTGTTTTTTCTTCTCTGTTATTTATGTTATGTACTCTTTTTAAATGCCTTCAAGATATATCACTCAATCCGAATGGAAACCACATGAATCCAAGCGTTCTTTTTTTTTTTTTTTTTATGGTTCTCATAGTGTCTATGTTTCTATTATTTGGTCTCAAGGCTGAACTGAAGGAGAAGTTGGGCAGAATCTATGATGTGAAAGACCCAAATTCTATCTTTGTTTTCAAGTTCAGAACTCACTTTGGTGGTGGTAAATCCACTGGGTTCGGTTTAATCTACGATTCGGTTGAAAATGCAAAGAAGTACGAGCCAAAATACAGGCTAATCAGGGTAATTTACAGTCGCATTTCAAGCACAATTCAATTATAATGCTCTGAAGTTTTGTTTTCCTCACTTAATGACATTACTCAAGCTGGACTTTCCTTCTGTCAGAATGGACTCGACACCAAGGTAGAAAAATCAAGAAAGCAAATGAAGGAAAGGAAGAACAGGGCAAAGAAAATCCGCGGAGTCAAGAAGGTAAGTTATATGGCTTGTTGATAATGATCTTGAAATGATAGCTTGACCTTCATGTTAAACATTACCACTAACCCTATCATTCATGTCTCTTCACAGACCAAGGCTTCAGATTCTGCCAAGGCAGGAAAGAAAAAATGAGATTGATTGCTGGAATTTTGTACCCATCACCAAGGATTATCTGCAGAATCATCGTGATCTCTTTTTAATAGTTTCCTTTAGTTTTCTTTTTAGTTCTAGATCAAATTATGTTAATCAGTATTTTTGGTTGTTGATTACCAGTGATATGAAAACTTGGTTCTTTGCAGAGGACAAAATTTTTGACGTTACAGGAAATATACATTTCCTTGTGTTTTTTACCATCATTTGAGGCTTATCGTTGCTAGATTATGAAAAATGATTTCTGGGATGTTCCAAGTTTTTATCAGTTTTTCTTCATTGAATTGTTGTTCTTAGATCTTCAAGAAAAAGATTATGAGCTTAGCAAGCTTAACTCATGTTCGTTATATAGTTTAACCATATAGGTTCGATGGTCGAGAAGTATTATATTATATTTTGAACCAAAAAAATAATGATACAAAAAAAAAATTATTTACAGCGAATGAATAAAGGCAATTATGATTCCAGGTTGTTTGTGTCGAAGTAAAGCCTAATGGGCTCTTATGAAGGAGACGGGTCAAAGTAAAGCCCAATGGGCTCTTATGAAGGAGACGGGTCGAATTAAAGCCCAATGGGCTCTTTTGACGGAAATGGGTCAAACCAAAGCCCAATGGGCTCTTTTGATGGAAATGGGTCAATTCAAAGCCCAATGGGTTCTTTTGAAGGAGACGGGTGAAAGTAAAGCCCAATGGAAGAGATTCGTATCTCTCCCTCTTTCGTCCTTCCCCACCACACCTTATCCTTCTGCTCCTGCTTCTCCTTCCATGGATGCTTCTGATTCTTCCTCCTCCCTTTGAATTAATTCCCCTTCTCACACCAAACAAACAAAACCCATCTCAGATTTCAATTTCAATCTCCATCGCCATCCATGGCTACTTCTTATGCCTCTGCAAGACCCACTCTCTCCTTCCATCTCTATCAACCCTCCGTTCCCAGTCCCAGATTCAACTTCAAACCCCCCCTCGTTGCCTTTCCGCCGTTGCAGAGATCGGCGGCGGCGAGACCCATCCCCATTTTCACCCTCAACTCCATCGACGTCTCCAAAGAGGACAAACCCACTTCGGACGACCCGGATTTGGCGGCGGTAGTTGGGGAAGAGGAGGCGGCGGAGGAGAAGTTGGACAGGCGGCGGATAGAGGAGAAATTTGCAGTGCTGAACACGGGGATATATGAGTGCAGGTCGTGTGGGCATAAGTTCGACGAGGCGGTTGGGGATCCGACGTATCCGATAGCGCCGGGGCTGCCGTTCGAGCAGCTGCCGGAGGACTGGCGGTGCCCGACGTGTGGGGCAGCGAAGAGCTTCTTCGAGAGTAAGAGTGTGGAGATAGCGGGGTTTGCTCAGAATCAGCAGTACGGACTTGGAGGGAACACTCTGACTTCAGGTCAGAAGGCAGTGCTCATCTATGGAACCTTGTTCTTTTTCTTTGCTTTGTTCCTCTCTGGCTATTTCTTGCAATGATATGCTTCTTCATGGATCATCAATCAACAGGTAACAATTTCTGTTTTTCTTTTTTTTATTAATAACTATATATATATTATTATTATTATTATAAATACCTAAATTAATGAAAATACTCCTAAAATATTAAAATTTTAAGTTAGCCATACCTGTGTTATGTCTTAATTAGTTGAGTTATAATGAAGCATTAAGTATTATGATTAAATAAATGTGATATAGTTGAGTAGGTAAAGTTAAGGGTAGGTCGTAATTGCTAGCCCGTGAAATTACAACTTATTTATTTACTTTTATTTGAACTGATTAATTAATTAATTAATTAATTAAACCACATATTAAATAACTCTAAATTTAATTTATAATTCCATCTTATATATCATGTACTTAAATGTAATTCTAATGCACAAATTTGTGGAATTTCAGGTGCATTGAGTAAATTGTAAAGGAGATTGTGTATTTTTTGACAATAAAAACAAATCATACTGTTGAATTATATGTAAAGTTCGCTCTCTTTGGTTCTTGATCTTGGTGAAGAATTGAATTGAAGCCAACGAAATCATCACAAGAATTGAAGCTTTTTTCTATCTTGTCAGCTAAATTTTTTTGCTTATTCTTGCATGATTTTACACCCTTCGCCTATTTTGGTTTCTTTCCTAAAGATTTTTTTTTTCTTTTTCCCTCAATTCTTTCGAATTTAAACCGACTTGTGAATAATATCTCAATTTTGTACACGAATACCTGCCAACCTGCAACGTTTTGTCATCAACTTCTCAGCTGATAGCATGTGATCTAACCGATTCCATGTTCCTGCTAAGTTCAATCTAAAAGAGGTTGTGCCAAAGAGTGTTAAACGAGAAGTCGGGTAATTTGGGGGAAAAACGTGAATGGAGAAGCATCTAAGAGGAACATATAACAAACTCGATATATACGACTGCTTCGATAAGCACCAAAATAAAATATGATCAATATATAAAACGAGCATTGAACGAAACCAACCGTTCTGATAAGCGCCAAAACAAAATATGACCAATATATAAATTTGTCTGATGGTCTTGTCTCTTAGATCATGCATTGTTTTTCGTTTCTGTTTCTTCGGACAAAGTAAAAAGAAGGTACAAAGATAACCTATTAACTAATATCCTGTGTGTTCTGGATATATCCTATATAATCAACATGTCTACTCTACAATTCCTCTTTAAAACCCCAAACTAAGGTGGGGTATTTCTAGAGGTAAACCTTGTAGTAGATACACAACAACAGTAATGGGATGATTCATTGGTACAATATGCACAAAATTCACTAAATGATTTTACCGATTTGTTTGATTTGAATCTGTCCTTGCATGCAAATAGTTCCATCTTTATATGTCGTCCCCAGTCGCTAAATAAACGTCACGATGAGAATGCAAGAAGTGATTCCACCAGATGAATGATCAGCTCGCATGACTTGCCCCGAAGCATCTGTTAGGGTGTGACTTGCTAAAATCCATGTTAGGTACAGGTCGAGGAATACTGCAAATGTCTTTCATATTGGGGCAACTTAAACAGCAGCCAAGACGAACCGAACAAACAAGGATCACTACCTGCTTCCAGAACCTGACCCACTCTGGAATGCTGGAGTCTTTGCTAGATACATTTGTTTCGCTTGCTTCTCGTTGGCTCCTCCTGTAAAATTTTCTTGTTGTCTTGCATACATTATATTTGCAGATGGCGTTGGCGCTCTATTGATCCATTTGTGTGGTGGTGAAGGAAGAGCGTCAGTAGCCTGGGCAAAATTCTGTTGGTTTGCCGAGTTTCCGACATTCAGCATCTTTGGCATCATCACGGGAGAAAGACCAGGAGTTAACATGTCAAGAGATCGATTCCTCATGCTCTCTTCAATTGTCAAAGCAGACATACCAGTCCTCACATTGTTGTATCGCTCCTGATGCTGTACTCTATCATTTCCACGGGAAATTTGCCTGTCACCTGGCATACCATTTGAAGAATTGGGATATCTTGGCCTACCTGATGCACCCTGGTAGTTATTATAGTGCCCGTAGGAATAATTTGGATCTTCACCATACCCCGTTTCATAACCTGAAGATGCAACTTGTCGCGGCCGAGAGAATATAGGCTGTCCCGGGAAATTGCGAGAATAGGGTTGATCAAATAATCCCGACAATGAGCCACCATTAGGTTTGATATTAAGAGTGTTTTTCACAAGACGATGAGCTGCTTCTCCCAAAAGAGGGCCAGCAATAGCTCTAGGTACTTGAGGCCTGAAAAACAGATGCATTATGAAAAAATAGAACTAATCTTCCCAGAAGTTGAGATGTTCATAGAAGAGGCTCTAGCATCCCAAAATTCTGTCCTGATTAAAACTACATATAATTGTGACAGCAAGCTTGAAAACTATTCCAGGTGGATTCTTCAAAGTCTGTTAAGAACTTTAAATTTTGATCGTCTTTTACAGTAAAGATGAGGCAAATTTAAGTAAACTAACCGTTCTCTGCCATGATAGCGCCGGGAATTATTGTCTTCATGCCATAAGGTAGGGAAAGGTTTGATATCCAAGGAACTTAGAACCTGCAAATACAACAAAGCATCAAGCAATGGGCAAATTTTAAATACTTTAAGCTTAATATAGTGGCAAGGGAATCAGAACGTGGCATCCTAAAACTAGAAATAAGCTAATAAAAAAACTCCTCACACAATGACAGTGCATACATGAATTACTTTATAATTTTCACATTTATTTCAGAGACGTTATTACTGAAAGGAAATTCAATGAGGCGTTAGGACTCATATCAGACGCACCTTTTTGGGAATGATTACACCCTTTGGAGGTCTAGGGATATGTTCATGCTTCTGAGGATTAAGATAGGTTACATTCCTACAGTTAAATAAAATGTGTGAGTGAAAGAGAGAGTGAGAGAGATCTGTGTGTCTCAGGCTACCAATGAAAGAAAGACTTACAGGACTTGATTATGCTGGATATCTGGCAAACTACTGATTGGTGATGGAAAAACATTACGGAATACATTTCTCTCACACAACCAGAGGTATCCATTCATCCCACCACTGTAAAATGTACGCAACAAAGGGATCAAACCAGCACATACAGGGACAAATTATCAGGAAGTTGATTGAATATATGATGAAACTAAACCTACCTGGCATTCGTGTCAATCACCCAACAAGTTCTTTCACGTGGAGGTAGTTGACTAGCAACTTGGTAATAAGAGAAAACCTGTGCAGACAGTGGATGGGCACAATGTGTATAAAGCAAATCAAGCATCACACTATTCCGATTCTTCTCTTCATCCTGTATGCACCAAATTTGCAGATCACTAATCTCGGCATTGAAAAAGAAACCAGAAAAAATATATTGAAAACGAGTGGCAATTTTTTTTTTTTTTTTATAATTGTGCTTTTGGAATGAAAAATATACAAGGCATAGTGACCGACACCCACAAGGAAGTGCTAATCTTAATCACCTTTCAAACATCCCCACCAAATCTCTCGATTCATCTAAAAAATCTATTTTTTCTCTCAATCCAAATGTTACATAAAATAACAAAGAAACTAGTTTACTGCAAAACTTTGCCCTACTTCTAAAAAGAGGATTTAGAAGCACCTCCTCCATAAAGGCCTGTCATCTCTATTATAAACCCACCACTGAGCAATCCGAATGGAAAATTCTATCCATAAAAAATTTCCCTAGATGGATACACAAAGGTGGTGGAAATAAAAAGGCTTTAGAATATATAACTGTCGCATGATAGCTCAGCACTGTAAAAATGGTTAATTCCACAATTCCACTAAGGAGCTCAATAAGAATTTCACCATAGCAAAAGTGACCAAATGTCCAGTACTAAAAGCAACAATTATCTTTGAAGGTCTATCAACCAAATTTAGTTTTCATACTCCGAAGACTAAAAGTATATAAATTGCTCTTTAATACCGTTAAAGAGCTTTCAAGTCTCCTAGTTTGAGCAAGCAACTTTCTCTCGTCGATGAAAGGCAATTTGGCAACACCCTGAATTTCACAAGGGAAAAAGATCCAATGGCTTTCATCAGTTGAACAAATATCGAAAGAGATTCTTGAACAAATAGCACTTCACAATATTTTAATTAATAAATAAATAAGCTTCTTGCTCATTAAAAAAAAAAAAAAAAAAAAAAAAAAAAAAAAAAAAAAAAAAAAAAAAAAAAAAAAAAAAAAAAAAAAAAAAAAAA